CAATCTTCAGTACAGTGGTTCTGAAAAAAACCCAAACACTGTACCAGCACAGCTCCTCACTTCTTACCATGCTAAACATAGTCTGCTTGCCTCGAGAAGAATGCAATTCTGGCCTCAGCAGCACCCTAAACTTATTAAATTTAGAAACAATACAGCTTGAACAGGTTTTTTTTTTTGCAGTGTTGGGTGCAGAAACATAAACAGTCCTAAAGCAGAATCACCTTTCAAAAAAAGAGAAAAAAAGTGGTCTACTATGAAAGAGTGTAAAGAGCTGGAAAAATGGCCTTTTTTCTTCTGCTCTTTAGATCTACTTGTAGGATTTTCTCCTCCTCCCCCCAACCCATTAGGACTATTTGCTCTCATACATTCTCACACTCACTCTGCCTCTTCATTGTAGTCTCTGGCAAAATGTCAGAGGGAAGGAAAAGTGACAAGCTCATAAGAAAACGAATACCTCATTCTGCTTGAATATTGCATTAACCCCCAAGCTCCACTGCTTCATTTGTCAGCTTTTTCAGTGCTCTCCATCTCTGAAGCACCCCTGACCTGGTTGGTCTGATTAGGAATGATCAATGTGCACATTTGCAGAGGAGCTCTTTGCACGCTGCTAGACCATCGGCCTTCAGTCACTCATGCAGATAATAACGGCAGTTTGAGTCACTTGCCCATAACTCTAAGCTTCATTAAACAGGGGGGATGTCACCAAAAGTCCCTTTAACTGTCTTTTCGCTTCTGTACAAGGGAAAAATTTGACAGTGCTGAGAAATGGGATTTGGGATAGGAATAAAGCCGTGGTTTGAGTATTGCACTGGCTGCCTGCAGTCAGCCTGTGCCTTTGCACTGCAGTCCCCTCACTCAGTGAGGCTGGGAGAGGCTATGCTGACCACTAAGCATCACCTGGCAGGCAGCTTGCACAGAAAAACAGCTGAGGTCAGGAACAGCTTCAAAAAGAATGGGCTCCTGAACAGAGCAGGCATTAGACAAGACCCTGTCAATCACCACCTCTGCTGCTGGCTGCCACAGTAATGTACCAGAGTAGTTTTTGTCCCTCTAGGCCCTCCTGCGCCACTGATAATAAAGAACAGCAATTTCTCCCTCTTCCATTTTAATGCAGGCAAGTAAGGCAAAACTGTCAGCCTATGAGCCCCAGAAACACTAGGGCACTTACCATGGAGCCCTGAGGTGAAAGATTGTCTTGCCCTATTCCACTGCTATTTAGTGTTCTCTTGGTCAGAGAACAGGTTTCACTTGCTGGAAACAGAAGGACCTGGCAAGGACCTATGTTATCACAGTATACACAGCCCCAGGCAGCTCCAGAAGCTCCCTGTCTGACCCAACACTTCAGCTCAGTAAAGTTACTACACAGAAAAGATTATATTAACAGATATGTGCTCCTAAGACTCAGGCCAGGCTTGCTCCTAGCTCTTCACAGCTTTCAAGGGTCAGATTTCAACCAATACAAATGTTTAGGCACGTTTCAATTTCAGTTTTTAATCGAACTCCATTTTCAGGGTAAAAGAAATCCCACCATTGCTCTAGAATTATAGCCGTTTTCTAAAAGCCATTTTCTTTCTCAAAGCACTTAAACTTCTCATAGTAAACACACTATTTCCACGAAAGAACAGTCTATGCTATTGCCCATCTACCCTAAAAAGGAAATTGAAGTCTCATGAAGCATCAAGGGAAAAAAACAGCCTTTCACTAGATCTTTTCCTACAGGAATGAAACCCCAAATCCACAACAGTCCCAAACCACTCCTTAGCATGTTCCAAGCCATGCCAGGTATTTCTCTGAAAACTTCTTCACAGAGGTTTAAACCCTCGTAACTTCCTATAGAGTACTGCACAAATCACCCCTCTGCTCACTCAGCGGGTCTGAGCAGAGCAACACTTTCCAGCAGAGCCTGAGGACACATTCTGCACCTTTTTCCTCCCTGTGGATTTCTCCAAGTAGCTCCTTCTATGTACTTCAGCCAAGTGTTGTGCTTGTCCTGTTATGGATATTCTATGCACACAGAGAGGCTTCTACTGATTTCAATGGACTTCAGAGCAGGCCCATGTTCTGTCATCTCTGCCAAGAGAGTTACATATTCATTGCAAATAGAAGCAACTTCCTTTGGGAGACTCCTGACCCCAGACAGAATTTCTCTTGCCTGGTACCACAGACTGCAGAATGAGCCACTGTTCTTAAAACAAACACTCTAATGCTGTGCTTCTCATTAGCCCCGAGCTTTTGTGCCCTTATTCATGGGAAGCCATACCTTGGCCATGGAGCAGTCCTTTCAATGGTGCCTGACTGAACACAGCCTCATTTAGATGTGCAGTGGCTGCCTGGCCTGCCGCTCCATTTGCCTCAACTCCAGCAAACTGGAAGAATTATTCCAGCTGAAACAAGACACAGAGAGCATCAGGATCAGGCCACAAAGACTTCAGTGAAGGCAGCAAGCACATAATAAAGCCACATGACAACTGATAATTACAAAAGACTGTTCCTACCATCAGAGTGATGTATTGGAAGAGTTCTCAGCATGGCTTTTCTCCAAATTCAGTTACCCCTCAAGTTCAGCAGATTTCTGTGGTTTGCTGTAATTTTCTTCCTCTCTGCATACTGACCCACAGCCCCCTCAGCAGAAACACTTCCATGCTAAACCTCCCTCTCCTCATCCTGCTTTCAGGCTAATGCAGATCACGGTAGACATCAACATTCACAGAATTGCATAGTGTGGTAACAGCTCCAAGATCAAAAGCACATGGATCCCCTTGATTAGGCAAATCATTTTATCCTCTTTCTTTTAGGACAAGTCTAGTCTTGGTTGGGAACTACAGCACTGCACAGCACCTGAAAACATAACCCACTTCACGTAACCATATCCCAGACCAGTTCCCAATTTCCTAAGAGCTCTCCAAGGGAGCCATGGCAGGTAACACAGAGAGGAAAGGTGAGAGAAGGGCCCCAGCATCCACCACTGAGGTAAGAGAAGAAATCCAAGTAAAGTTACTTCTGAGAGAACAGCGATATTTATACTAATGTGGTCAGGTATTCCATGCAGACTCAACAAAGCCTGAGCCAAAAACCAGTCTTGCTGTCCAACAAGTCATAGCCTTCACCCTGACAGCAGTCAGGCCATGTCCCCAGAGATTTTAATCCAGAAATATGCTACAGTTTGGCAATCTGGATCCCACTGGGTGATTTATTATCCAAGTTGCCCCCAAAGGCCATTCAACTTTTACGGAAAGAGGGGTGTGGGAGGAAAGGAATGTTGGACACACAGACAGAGAAACAAAACAAAAAGGAAAAGGCCATAAATGTAACATGCTGGTGCTGTTGAATGGAAGGCAGCCTGAATATGCAACGGAAGTACAGCCTGAACCCCAACACCTGCTGGATGTAATGGACTCTGAAGTGTTGTTTCAGAATTAATCAAGTCATTTAAAATTATAGCTGTAGTCTCCATTCACTACTCCCATGCATAAACGCGCTGATCCCGATACTAATCCATGTTGGGTGACTTGAGCAATATATCACCCTAATTGCCATTTTAGGGCTGCAAATTGGAGCTAAAACAACCAGATGCAAAAGAGATGGCTATATCATACTCTTAAGATGGATCTTCAAAGTTCAAGGAGAGTTCAAGCATGGAAGAGGCAATACAGAGGGGTCAAGTGTAAGGAGATTTTTCATGTTCAAGAGGAATTAACTTTACAAATATATTGTTTCTGATGTGGCAATTGTGCTATCTTACAGCTATTCATACCTCCATGAATCTTTGCATTCTTCTCAGCCATTAGAGTGATTGTTCCTCCTTGAAATAAATTTGATTCTGACAAAATAGCCAGCTTTAAAACAACTAATTCCCCCAAGATTTTCTGCTTTAAGACAATCCTCTCTGAAACCACAGAGCCTACACCCGGCTACAAGATCTTCAGACACCAGGCTGAAGCACTCAGACTGCTGACTCATTTTATTACAATTAACAAAGACAGAGCTTGAGATCTCATCAAAAAGAGTGTGAAGAGTGATATTCTCACTCAAAATAGCACAGCGGGTGTATGGGCCTAGTGTGGAAGCTGCAAAATATCTAAACACTTCGGGTACCATGGATTTTAAGGTTACCAGCATGGAAGTACCTCCTAGCATTCAAGGATATTATTTCCTAAATCACTTGACAAATGAAAGTTCACATAAACAGAAAAGTCAGTGGTTCTCTGAAGAAATCAACCAACAGACAAGGAGCATTCAAGGGACTGTAACAAATAGTACTGCTTCATTTTGCTGAGGCTTACAACAAGGTGTCTCCACAGCACAATAACCGTATCTGCCCATCAGCAAACAACAGTCCTACCACACCTTTGCAGCCCTGTAAGATCAAACCTAAAGGCATTTGAATAAGCTGCAGGGCAAGTCCATAAGCAAGTTTTAAGCTGCCCATCAGCACTAGTTTAAGCAATGTCCTTATCTGATATGTTTCTCTGTTTCTGAAGTCAGATGAAACCATTAATTACGTGTTCCTTTTCCTACCTTTAAATTGCACTATTAAAGTACAATTTCAGTTTACTGTTGAACTACCACCAGACCTAGAAATTACTGTTGTCATCTAATAAGTCATCGGCACAGGGAGAGAAAAAACACACCTACTATTATTTCTATACAGGTGGGTCCTAAGAGTCTCCCTGCAAAGCTGTGATTTCAACTAGCTCCTGCTACAACTCCAGCAGACAAAGCGACAGTTTTTTTTAGCCAGTGTAAATCAGCACAGCACCATTGTGCTTCAGAGGGCAATGATAATTCATCCTGGTGAGGATCTGGTGACCTGAGTACCTCTGAACAATGGCATTACAGAAAACTAATGTGCTATGGATTACTTGATAATTTCTGTAGCATAATTGGCCAACATGGAAACGCTAGAAATGATTTAAGTTCATAACTAATGGCAACCATTACCAAGACAGCATTATTTATGATCAACTGCATATAGTAGTCCTGATTCTGATTTCACTCACATCTCATTCCAGGCAGTTTTTTGACAGGCAGCTGCTGATGCTTCCTGTGCTCTGGAAGAGGCCAGCCCTCATGGCTACAGCTGTGGTTTCAGCATATGAATTTCTGCATCACACTGAGAACATCTTCAGTGCTTGAACTCTAGGCAGAGTGGAAAAAAGGCTGTGTTTAAAGCGATTTCCCTGCGGGCAGAACTCTGCTAGCCCACCCACTGGGTTACTGCCCCCCTGGTGCTTTAGGCAGCCCAGTGACTTGTCTGTTGACTCCCATATTTGCAGGGCTGTCAGATAAGGTGGGGCTGCTGCAGCCTCATTTGACAGGTTCAGCACTGCAATTACCTGCATCTCAAATATTCAAGCGCTTCTTTGTATGGAACTGGAAGAGAGCAAGTTGCCTCAAAAAGCTTACACTGCATTTATAGTCCAAAATAAATGGCTTGAATTTCCGATTTTCCTCCACAGGTCTGACCACTGACTCATAATGGAAGTTTTTGGAAGCTGGTTTCTCTTGGAAGTCTGCTTTCAACTCAGCTTAGAAACCTGGCTGGCAGGAAGACAGCTCACAGCAGCATTACCCAAGTAACTGTGGAACATCCTAAACAGAGAGAAAAATCAATATGAATTCAACTTGTACTCCCCTGAACACAGGCACATGCACACACAAATATATACAGATACAAAATGTATGAAAATCAAGTCTCCTAAACAGTCCCCTGTGGTCAGACAAACTCATTAAGTTTGACACAGCCAAGCCAGAGACTGAAATCTCTTCTGCAGAATGAGCAGTTCCATATCTTTATTTTCTTGAGAGCCCTTTCCTAAAAATAATCATCTGCAAATTGTAATTTTTTTCCACCTTTCATAAATATCAGCCATAGTGCAGCCCTCTCTCCCCCTCTCTTTTTCTTATTCAGGATATCAGGCAGATATGAGTTATCAGTAAAGGTCATCCTCAATTTCTGTACAGAAATGATCTGTCTCCAGTATGTAATAAACATTTATCCATGCCTTTATTAGCTATATTGAATCTGACAGTTCTGTTAAACCATTTTCTTTCATTTTGCTAGGTCATGACGGTTAATGCTGCTAAAAAATCTCATCACTGCTTTTGATCGCTGCATTGTCTTTTTGGTATTATCAAGATTTTGTAAAGGTAAGCACTGGTTGGAATGACCTATTAAAGTTACAGCCCGTTGAGTTCCTGGCTTTTCTCTCACCACAATAAAAAAGCAGAGGAGTGCAAAGCATAAATTCTACTTTCGGGTTATATTTAGTTGAGCAGTTGTAATTTAGAAGAGCAGTCACTTTAAGCCCACTTTGCATTGGTTTCGCTCCATCTTTTTCACATCTTCAAGTTTCTGATATGGGCTGGAAGCCACACCATGGCAAATGAGCCCAAATAGTGGGACCCAGAGGTGATGTCCCAGTTAACCCCTACCCTGCCAGCAGTGCCTTAGGCATCTGCTGGGGATTTGAAAACAATTCCATGATTTACAAAGCAGACTCCACATGCAGATTGAGAAACATTCAAGGAATTTCCAGTCATTCTCACATGCTCATAGAATCATAGAATCACAGACTGGTTTGGGTTGGAAAGGACCTTAAGATCATCCAGTTCCAACTCCCTGCCACAAGCAGGGACACCTCACACTAGACCATGTCACCCAAGGCTCTGTCCAGCCTGGCCTTGAACACTGCCAGGGATGGAGCATTCACCACTTCTTTGGGCAATCTGTGCCTCACCACCCTCACAGCAGCAGCATGTATTCCAAACCCCACTGGAAGACACTCACAAAAGTATGTCAGATTTGCTGCAATTCTCCTCTCCCTCCATCCTGGTCTATGTTTCAAGCACTAGGACAGATTTTCTTTCAGCTTAATGTGATTTGGTTGCATGTAAGCCTAGGGTGCCTCTTTTCATCCTTTGCACATTGCCTTCCCTTGATGCTTACACCAAATTCATCACTATGATGTCTAAGTACATGGAATGTTTTTCAAACTCACTGTTGTCTAGAATTACTTCTGGGGGGGGGGGGGTGGGGGTGGTAAAGCAAACAGAAATCCCTTAGTAAGCCTTATTGAATTCCTCTTGCATTCTCTCACTCTACAATGAGATCAACCATCCTAATTTTCACTGCTACGGGATCAAACCACTGGACCCAAGGGACCAAACTGTACCCCAATTTACATGCTATGAGCAGTATAATGCACCAATTTAACATAGCCTTGTGTCCCTCATCAGTATACAGCAAGTTTCCCCCTCAGAAGTCACTTGCAAGGGAACGCAACTAACTTCCAACGTACCTGCACAAGTCTCATTTGCAATGCAACCCTGACAGTCTCCGTGGGGAGTTTAATATAAGTTCAACCTGCTGTTCTATGCTGTGAGGCTGTGGAAACTGACAAGCTAGTGCTGAGGAGAGGTCCTTTCAGCCTGCTATCCTGCCTGCCACAGTAGCCAGCCAGAGACAGCAGGTTCAGACGGTATCTGCTGTGATGGTTTGCAAGAGAAACCTGCCTGCAGGAGGAATGCCTTCCTTATCCCCATCAAGTTGTGAAGAGTTCACACAGAGTAAAATAAATAAATACATTAAAAAAAACACTCTCCTGACCATAGGACTGCAGAACTGGGCAGTCCGGGGACACTGCAGACAGCCACAGTGACTTCCTTGAAGCAACACTCAATATCCATAGCTAAAAATCTACTTCCTGCCTGAAACTGTTTTCAGTTACAGACAGTAACAAAGGGAAAAGGTCAGTGGTACAAAAGGGCCTATTATCTCTTCCTGTAAGCAATATCCTGCTTTTCAATTTCCTCAAGCATTCCTTTCTTTGGCAGCAACAACCTACCCCCTTCTCTTTTTCCAGCTATGCCTTCACTGACTTCCAAAGTCAAACAGGGATAGGCAAACATGGCAACTCACAAGAACAAGCTGCAAAATGTTTTCTTCATGACAACAGGCATATCAAAAAAGACAAATTTCTGCAAGTGCTTCTCCACATGGTCTCCATCACCCCACGTCCTGCAAGCCCATGTTCACCTCGGTCAGTGTGATCTACTCTTCTCACAAAGGTAGGAGAAGTCCTACCTTTGTGATAAAAAAGAACGGCAATCTTGTAGAGACAGAGGCTGACATCCCCGCTGCCGGGACACTGGTAAACCCTGTGGAAATGCAGGAATTCCCTACCCTGGCTTTCTGCATGCCAAAAATCCCACAATTTTGAACAAAAGAAGATCAAGGGTGCTAACCCCGGTGCCCCAGCTAACTTAACCCAAACCTTGCTCCCAGTACCCACTCTGGGAGAAAGAGGCCTTTCTTCCTTGTCTCTAAATGGCCACCCAGCATAAGTATCTCCCCATAATAATTCATGAGCAGGCTTCAAATGGTGCAGGCTTGGAAGAGAAGGTTGTCTCAGACATGATAATCCTTTTCACCAGCCCAAGTTAGAAATGCAGACAATAGATACACAGACCAATAGATGCACTCTGACCTTGATGTTTCAGACCACCACGCTGTTAAACAAGAGGCAGGACCCCTGTGGTCATGGGAATCTCCAGCATGTGTTTAAAACTGTAACACTATATTTCTTGGTGAACTTTGCCTAAACTATCTTTAACATTTTCCAGGTGCATATCTACTTGCAAAATGTTGTGCACTCTGTATATGCACAGACATGCACGCAAGGTGAGGAAGAGAAAGAGGTAACTCCCCATAACAGCTTTTAAATGATGAGATAGCGGCAGCTACTGCCTGCAATTCTTCACATATCACCCCTGCTCCTTTAGTTCAGTTGATCAATAAAAATTGCTATTGAGCTTTCTGATACTCTAAACAGGTAAATCAATGCCCTAATGAAGACAGCAGTTTTGTCCCAGGACTCTCTTTCCTTGGTATTCTACGTAAAAGCAACAAACAGGTTTCTGAGAGCTGGAAATGACTGAGCTGTTGCTTCACGTGCTACTTCACCTCAAGTAGCCAGCTTTGACAGGCTTAGCCCCCTCTCTGCACACTTCCTCCTCTGCACATCAGAACAGGACTTCAAGTGGATATAGAACTAATTGGTTTCAAAGGGCCTGTCTTCCAGGAAGATGGAAGTCCTGATGTCTGACTCCTGTAGGAGCTAGCACATTTGTACAAAGAAACATGAACATCCGTTAAAATCACCTAATTGACCAATTTGCCAAGCTATTTGTCTTTAAAATGAGACATTTAACATGTCCTGCTATATGCTGATGTATTTCAGTAGCCCAGAATAAACACAGCCTAAAAACTAAACCTCATACCCAGATAATGCAGCTGGGAGTTAATGATTACAATATGTGACACTTCAAATACACCAAGTCAATGACATTTAGCTAATCTGTCTTCCCTATTTTTTGCTAAGCAGGTTGGCAAAAGAAGAAAAATGGTTCATCTACTAACAAGTTTAACACAACCTTGAAATAAATCATATTCGAAAGCTAGAAGCCTGGCTGAGTTTAATAGTTAAATCATTTATTCCTAGGCTAAAAAAAGAAATAAAATTAAAAAAAAAAACTGCCCTGAAGTCATTATCAGCATGATCCTCTATTTGAAGTCTTGCAAAATGTTCAAGGAATGGCCCTTGTGGTTTGGCCAAAAGGAAACAACATGCTCAGTGGCTCTTTGCAGGCCCAAGAATATGGAGACTCCCAGTATGAGAATATTAAATTATTATGGCTCCTGCAACAGGGAGCACAATTGTTAGTGGCCCCCTTCCTCTGATGGCCAAGCTCTGTTCCTCCCTGCTGGGAGCACTCATTGTCCTACCTAATATTTGCATGCTTTGATAATAAGAAGATTGTCAAGATAATAGCAGGGAAGTTTCAGTTGAAACTCAATTTTCCCAAGCCAGCTGCGCATGGCCCCAGTCACGTTTTCTATGAAGATGCCTTCAAAATGCAAAATTAAGCCTTGCTCCTGAGGAAAAGAAAAAGAAATTATCCTCCTCCCCAGAAGAAGAAGAAGAAGAAGAAGAAGAAGAAGAAGAAGAAGAAGAAGAAGAAAGGAAAGAAGGGTTACTGAACAAGAGCAGGATGAAAACCACTTCCTGGAGAAATTATTTTTACATGAGTTTAAACTTCCTTTTGTTCTCCAAAGCATTTTGATCAGTGCAAGCAAATAATACTGAAAACAGAAGAGCAGGTCTTAAATCACAGAATAATTACTTTTGTGAGCTTTATTGATTGCAGTGATCTAGCTGAAAGAGTCTGGGGGCTCTCTTCTCTCATCCACCTTCCTGCATGACACAACCATTCACCAGCTCAAATGAGGTGGGACATAATGTGATTTTTGGAAAGAATAGTACTATTGTTGAAGTCCAAAAAAAAATCTGTATTTCTTTGGGTTTTGGCAAACTTGCTTCTTTGTCCACTCCAAATAATGGCTTAAAAAAAGAAAAGAAAAAGAAAAAGGTGCACTCCCTCTCCCCTTTTGCCCTTTATCCCTATTTCAGACTATGTCATTCTGAGTTATCACGGATGAGGGACTTTTAAACACTCATGAAAAAGCCCTGCAAGGGCAAACGTCATGGGCCGAGCCCTTGTCAGACAAGAAGCTGTACCTCTGGCCATATGGCTACCCAGAACCTCAGAGACTCTGCTGTCTTCCTGCCTCTCTTTAGGGCTTTTTGCTTACTTTGGCCTCGTTTTACACTTCAAATAGCCTTTTTATAAAGGCATCTGAATTAAAGTATTTTTCCAAGTGCAATACACTCCTCCCCAGTTCAGTTGAGATACAGATATTTGTTTCTGGGTTCAGGAACTTTCTGTGAATGGACTGCACTTAGACATGCTGGTCTGCAGTAACATCAGCACCAAAGCCCTTTTCACTCACAACAGAAGAGGATTAGAGTCCAAACCAGCCTCCCACTAGGACACTGAGGAACAAAAACCCATCTCAAGCCAAGCCAGCTATCACCCTCCTTTGCTGACATTTATGCAATTCAAACAGGTCTGTACAGTCCTTTAGCATAACTAAATTCACAGAGTGCACCTCAGGCAGTCCAAAACACAGGTGACTGAATTCCACCACACTTTAGGTCATTTGTACTGAGCAGGGAGTGCTCATGATGTCATCTAGATTCTGACCCTTTGTAGGGAAGAGAAGACCAACTTCAACTAGTGGGCCTGCCAGCAGAAATCCGTTCACTGAGCCCCTCAGATATTTTTCCTACTGCACAGCAGAAAGCAGACTTTACAGGACAAGTGCCTGTGGTGTGCTCCATTCTTTGCACATGTCTCAACCATCAAGCAGCTGGTGGGGTGACCTACCCGGGAGGTTTTGGACACCACATGGCTTTATGTGTTTCTGGCCCATGTAGGCTGCCAAGAGGGTCAGATGCAGTTAGAATGCAAGCACAGAAAACTTATCTGCTTTTTTCACATGAAAAGAGGGATGAGTCTCTTCACTGCCTTGTGCCCTGTTATTTATACCGCAAGAGTGAAATGAGCATAAATTACTAACAACTGAAATGCATTCACTGACTCACGCTTGCAGTGCAGTGCTGTCTGAGCAGGAATAATCACGGGAGGTGTAGCACGGAACAAGCGCAAAATCATTCAGGATTGCTTAGGCAAAGCTGGAGCCTCAGGCGGGACCCGCTGGAAAGGCATGCTCTAGAAGGATGTTTCCCTCAGCAGCCAGAAAGTTTCTGGGGGAGTGGCAATCTGTAAAAGAAATCAGCAGAGAGCAGAGATGTTAGCTGACTTGATACTCCCAAAATAAGTACTAAAATAAGAATGGCAAGTCATGCCCTCACTTCTGCCAGTACTGCCTTCTTCAGAGAGGTTTGAAGAACAGATCACAGTGCTCATCATTCATCCTTTCCTTTCACTGACCTATGCAGACAATGGTATCCCACCACCATCTCCCCCGTTAGAAGACAACAAAAAGACAACAAAACCATTTTTAAATGCTTTCAAGTACATCCCATAATCCTTGCCTGGTAAAGACAGACATATAGTTACGCAAACATTGTCTCAGACACACAAAAAGGGCTACTCCCAGGCAATCAGTTAGCTGTACGCTCACCCTGTTTCTACCAGCCAGTGCATCTTGGTATGCCATACGTAAAGCTATTTCTTTGTTTCATCTTCTGCTAAATTACCCATTAGCAGCAAAAGAAATCAGAAGCCTGTCCAAAGAATACATATGTGCAATAGCAACAGCCCCACTGCAGCATCACCCTCTTTCACTAAGCCTAACTGAGGTATGGCTCCAAAGGGCTGGGAATAAGGAGCTGACAGAAGGCAAATGTATTGCACATAGTTAGAAACACACACAAGTGCACATACATACAAACACCTATACATGCTGTGGAAGAAAAAGAATGTTCCAGAGTAGTCAGCTTACTTGCAATGGCAATTAAGCATCCACCAGCACACGCAAATTAAAGGGAGACTTTTGTGGCCTGAAATTGTTATTTCTGTATGATGCTGTCCCCGTTGTTTGGATTCTCTGGAGTGCCATCAGTGTAAAAGACAGCAGCAAACCAGGTCTAATTCACCATGTTTAACACAGTGAAACTTGTCAACATGGAACCCCTTTTATGCTGCATAAAGAGGGACACTTGGTTTGCTGTTTGCCTTGCCTTGAGAAAACTCTGAACAGAGATTCATTACCAGCTCTTGATAGGGGGGAAATCAGAAGCATCTTCAGTGTCAGGTGAGAGTCCCAGCCTCCCGCAAGAGGCCAAGAGCTGCACCAAGAGCCAGCACTGGAGGCAGCAGTCTCAGTTCAAGTCAAGAGAGTGGCAACAGCGTGGACTTCCTGACAACTTTATCTCTCCCCCTGGGCCCATGCTCCTGCGATTCATCTTTGAATCCCTGATGTGCCACTTGCTGCCCTCTAGGACCTAACATGTTGACATCATCATGCCTCTCAGAAGGAAATCTGTCAGTGCAGCATGAAGAAGAAATCAAAATGGTAGAAAGCAAGGAAAAAAAAAAGTCCAAAATGTAGGAGTTTTGGATCTATATATGGCATATAGGATTGGAGGGTTTTCCTAGCATTTTTTTAGCCTTGGGCAAATAATGGAGCAAAGACTTTGCTGGGAGCTGCTCAGTGAGAAAGGCCAATGTTAGGACTCCTGCCCCCAACAGAAGCTTATCCTCAAGCGAGCTGATCTGCTCCTTTGAGAGGGGCAGTATGGGACAGAGGAGGAGAGGGGGAAGGCGGGGGGGGAAGCTTTTCTTTACACTTGTGCTGTTCTGAATGTGGACCATCTGTGCCCCCAGCTGGAGTGCTGGAGATGGTCTGGCACTTGAACCACACCATATTTACAGATCTAAACACAAATGGCTACTGCCTGATTGTTTCATGATTCATTAGTCAGACAAGCTCTCCTCTCCCGCCAGCACAGCTGTTACAGAGTAAACCTTTGTCACTTAATAGGCCTGATTATTACTTTCCATCAAAGGTATTGATCTGTGTCATCTCTACTTAAGGGAAAAGGGGAGAAGTGAAAAGAGGACCAAAAGGTGTCAGGAAAACAAGAAGCGGGGGGGAGAATTAAAAAAGAATGACATTTGCGTGGTGACTAGAGGAACCGGTCAATGCATTTAATCTCTTTTGGGTGTACTGTATTCATGTATTCATTTACTACAGTGACTAGGTTACTCATGGAGATGAAGCGTCTCACATGATGTGGCATTCCTTGCACTGCACCAGACTGCTACAGTCACACAATATGGCCATGCATATAATTGGTCGGCCAAATACACAATGTGAATTAACAAATAGTATTTAGGAAAAAAAATAGAAATCAATTAAGTCACGCAGCAGAAGGTACAAATACAGGTTCATCTTGAAATGGCATGAGAAGAGATGAAGAGATTGATGGCGAGACTTCAGAGAAGCAGGCCAGACTTCAGCCCTCGTGCATCCAAGTCAGCAGCCCTACCCCAGTTACACCAGCAAGGAGCTGGCTCTCTTTGTTTAACAAAGGAGCTGGGGATAGGACATAGTGTGTTAGAGAATTGCGATGCAGAGTGTATTTACCACAGCTTGAGAGCTCTCGTTGCTCCAGCAGCCGTCTGACAAGCTGCCATTGCAGCAATTGCAGTGTTATTGCAAATTCATTCATTCCATCAGCACGATGAGGTTTGCCACATCCAGACTGAGAGTTTCACTGCCTCTCTGACCCACAAAGCCATTACTAGTGGCATTATTACTTCTTCCCTGCTGCATTTGAGGTGGTACTTGGTACACACCATTCCAGTGACCAGGTGGACAATTCGTAGCCACAAATGTGGCTCTGGTGGCAGCAGGGAGCAAGCTCTTGAGGGAAGTTGGCTTCACTCTTTGTGTTTTTCTCGTGTCAAAGGCATCACCTTTCCTGAAGCCAAATCTCAAAGCCCTTGTCCGGTCCTCCTTCAGAATAAACAGCAACAAGTTCTGGGAACTAGGGGAGAGAAAAGAAACCACAGCAGAAACTGCTTAGCTTGCATGGACACAGCACAACAGTGCAACTACTCAGGCTACCAGAATTTATAGCAGTCTGTACATACAAGGAGGTTTTCCTCAAACCAAGACTTGCATTTTCAATGCAAAGAGGCCAGTAAGATGTTACACAGGGAATACCAGTCATTTTAGGGAAAGCACTGTTGAGAGAAGAATGAAGAGGGGGAACCTAAGCAGTAGTGTAGAGCTGTCAGAGTGCTTGGGTTTCCCCTAAGGTCAGCTTGCCTACAGGGCCATACCTGCCATGTTCAGCCCAGGCATGCAAAGTGCAGTGACAGATGCCAGCCCAGCAGGTCACTGGACAGGGAAGCAATTGATGCTTATGTCATGGAATGTTCTTTTACAGTCCATCTTTCACCCAAAGCTCTGAAACAGACCAAAACACACATGCTTTTCTGACTAAGGCTGTGCCCCAGAGCAAACCTGGTCCCTCCATCTTAGCATTTGCCACCAAGATCCCATTTCTACCCACTCACTCTCCCGTCCTGAGTCATATACTGTTTCACCGGATGGAAAGAAAAGTTCAAAGACTGCAACACATGACACCAAGCAAGAGTTGTGGCACACACAACCCATGGGAAAGTGTTGCTTGGCAATACGGCGTGTGCATAGCTCCCCGCCAAGGGACTGGCATTGTCTCTGTGCCAGGAAATCAGCCATTCAGCTAACAGGCAAAGCAGCGGCCACAGAAGACAGAGAAGCAGAAGGGAGCCGTCAAACCCAAGAGACATGCTAGCTCTCTTTCCTTCATGTGCTACAACAAATAGAAGGGGGGTAGGGGTGGGTCTGGGGAGTGAGGAACCAGAGAAAAGCTGTAAATTTTAGCTTAAGCCATTTATCTTTCTAATGCATCAAGGATGAAAACTGCTTAGTCAGTGCTTGAGGAGGGACCAAAACTAACATACTGAGATGGTATCTTAGAGCTTAAGTTACGAGCGAAAACCTTCCCATTTATGAGCTTTCTTGGAATGAAAAAGGGTGACATTTTGTCACTGAATCATTTAGAAGTAGGCTGAGTAAACCAGCCAGGAACAGGCTGTTAAGAACAATCCTGCAGTACACAGGTCTTTGCCATTGTTGATGCTTCATTTTCTTTCCTTGGAGAAGATGTCTGATTCTGGTAGTTGATGACAAGACTAGGGCAAGCCAGCAAGGGAGAAGAAAGACACATACACACAAAAAGAACAAACCCTTGCTCAAGTAGCTCTCAAATAAAACCGTAGCTTTCCAAAATCTGTTCTTTCCAGACTCTGCTGAGAGTAGGGTTTTATTACTGGTTCACAGAAATGGGTTATCCTTGGGATGGACATGCTGCTCATCAGCTTCACTATCCTTTTTGACAAGGCACTGCTGAAACACACCAGACTGTCTTCCTGTTCAGAAGCAACTGCACATAAGCCCGACATTGCACCTCCTACCAGTTTAGCCCAGTGAGACCCTGGATAGATGGCATTACCAGCAACACCTCTTCTACTTCACAGCAAAACTCCAATAGAAAACCCCTCTGACAGCCTTGACAGGCACAGGAGGTCTAAGGCACTGATGACACAACCCACCTACCTGCCAAAAGCATGGCTCTGACTTATCTGACCGAAAGAAACTCAACTGCAGTGTTTTTCTCTCACTTGTGCCCCCATCTCTGTCCTCAAAACAAAGCTGAATTAATTCACATTAAAGTGAAGTGAGGTTTAACATGAAGTGGAGGTTTAGCAGGTCAGATCCAATGGTGTCAACCAACAGAGCTCTGCTGAATCTGAAGGACCTGCTTTGCCCAAGTGTGTACCAATGGGAGGACCAGCACAGCACAGTGTCTTAACTCTGGGTTGCACAAGTGTCTGCAGCCTGAAGACAAGGGCCAACAATTCTCAACTTGCCCTGGGCCTACATGGGACTAATAGCCATAAAACTCCTTGTGGCTAGTGATGAGAGGGTAAAGCAGAAGCAAAGAGTTCTCATTTCACCTTCCAATCTTAGCTGTGGACCTGCAGGAGGATGGCGAGGCTGCAGCCACATCTGACCAAGTCCATCCTCATCCATACAACCCTCATTTCCATACAAATATACTTGTTGCAGCTGGTATCAATTGCAGCAGATCTGTGTCAGGTTCCTCCTGTGAACCTCGTGAAGTACTGTACCTGCAATTGAACTGTGTGGTCAGCTGAAGACATCTTCTCTGGGAAGGGAGGCAGGGAAGGGAAACAAGAAAAAAAAAAGGAAAGCTTCAGGTCAAAGGATTGATTAAGGTTTTGAGTTACAGGGGGCTATTGATTTTTCATTAAACACCATGTACTGCTGTAAAGCAGAGAAAAAGTAATTCATTGATCAGAGCTGTGGGCCATGTTCACTTATTGGCTTCCTGCCACATCCCATTATTCCCAGTTCTAAATTGTATATTGAAGTCAGTTCATTCTAATCATTGCCTCCTGTCACCAGCAATGTCTCTCAATAACTATTAGTTTAATCACCCCTTTCTTACAATGGTAATGAGTGATAATACCCAGCATTATGGCGGATTCATGAATATTAGTCACAGCATTACAGCATTGCATTTCACAATGCTACAGTTAAGGGTCTGTCAGCATTTCCATTACAAAGCCCCCAGGCCTGAGACTTTATAAATCACTCTTAAAAATTTGCTGCTGGCAGAAATAAGGAGCGGAGGGTGTTTGGGTTCTGGCGAGAATATTGTTGGAACTGCTCTCTGCAAAATCTTTCTGGCCATGGTTTCACTGCACTGAAAGAGTGCTGGAAAGGGGAGAAAAAATGGGGGAGAAAGAAGAGGAACTTTGCCAGTTCAAGCTGCTTTTTCCAATTGATTAAAATGCCATCATTTCAAAAACAGGATGATCTGCTGTTAGGTTGGACAGCGATTCAGGAGACAGGCAGTCTCTTCCTAAAGCTGACATGTAGAGACAGCACTACCATGCTCTCCTGCCGATAGCAGCACTTGAAATTTAAGAATATCTTAGCTGAGACCTCTTACCTTCTGCAGGATACTTTCCTCTGTGCTGGCTATTGGATTCAATGTTTGGTAACCTGCATTTTGAGCAGGCTGCTTGCTGCAGGGACAAGCACTGAAATACTCAGACTTCATATAGCACCTGCTTAGGTAAAACCTCAGCCTGGGGACAACAGCTTTATTAAGAAGCTTGTATCTGATTGCAGAATCCAGCCTGAAGGTGTAGAGGGAAACTGGCCAAATTAGGGGTTTTCTATTGGAAACCTTTCTGTTTACAAGCAAGCCATAAAGATGTCACTGGGACTGAATGTCTTAAAACCAACAGCATGCTCTGAAGCATTCCTTTGAAAATTGAACTGATCAAGATCTGAGTTGAACAGTTGCTTTTACACTATTGTCAAGCATGAGGAGTTAAAACAGGCATTGCAGGATCCAAAACTGGAAACAATTTCTCTGGATGGAGAGACTAAACTTACAGTGTTCTGTAGGGCACTCAAAATAGGTAACAGAACAAACAGCA